GTCGGTCTCTCTTACTTATCTTGATTTCTATTATGACCGCCTTGTACCAAAGAGAAAGCCACGTGCTTTACCGACAGTTTGTTGATGTCGGTAAAATTTGACCAATCAACGACAGCCCTGTAGCGTAAGCTCATTATTATGCACGGTCAAAAACAAGTACACTTTTCACCGGGACTTTTCACGAACAAATCTTGCACGAATCTGAGCACGAATTCATCATGAAAATACAAATATTTTATCAGATAAATATCAATGAGAGTTTAGTGGATGCCGGGGCATCGATCGGATAACCAAAGGTGAGAAGATTTCAACAATAAAGGTTGAAACGATCGCTGAACATGTAGGCTGAGATTCAATCACCGATCGACGACAACATGACCCGCTACATTGGACTACATGTAGGTCTTCGTGCATTTTCATCGCGAAATCAGTTTTAAATCAACATTGAATCGCATGATTTAATTTATATTAATGACTCTTACCTTCCAATGTACATTTAATAACATAATATATTGTAACTATAACGAAACACTCGATCAGATCATGGAATTTCAAGTCGTAGATGGGAAGTTTGTTTTGTTTATGCAGCTCAACCTGATAACGTTTTGATTGGTCATTCAGCCTGAAGTCACACGTCGTGTCCACGCGATATCTGTCAATCAATAAGGTTTCGCGATACCCCTGATAGCGTAGGTATTATGGAAATCTCGAAACCGTTGAATATTTCAGCATAATAACAGCGGAGATGTATTGGATTGTACAAGGCGGTAATAATTCAAGATCAGAGAAGTAAAAAAATACCGACTTGGGCAAGGCTAGGTTTACTGTAATCAAGTGATTTCCTTTTTAGAAGTTCTTAGAATGGATTTATTAAAAATGGCCTAAATCACTCAAAAAGTTCTTAGAATGGTGAAAAGTGCATGATTTTAAAATAATTCTTGGCCGCGGGGGGGGGGGTGGGGGTGGTTCGCTTGGACCCCTGAACCCCCCCCCCCAGGAATGCTATTACACTATGAAATTATTTTGGATGCTTCCTTTACAACAGACTTTAACCAAACTTAAAAGAGTCTCTGTAATCAGGTTTGTTTTGCCTTGTCAAAATATTTTGTTTTGTTAATGGATTAATAAAGTTTCTTTAGACACATCCTTTAAAGCAGACTCTAATCAAACTGGAGAGGCTAGGTTTACTGTAATCAAGTGTTTTCCTTTTAATAAGTTGTGTTTTTGGATTTAATTATTTAAGACGCATCCTGTAATAATATCTGACTGCATTTACTCCATCAATAAATTTCTTTTTAGCCCGATCAAAACTATCAAATATAATGCATATATAAGGGTTATGTACTGGGAGGTTTTGGATACCCATATTTCCTGAGGGATAAACCCTTTATTTAAAACTGATCATACATAACATGTGTATTCCATACCTTTTGAGGTTTCTAGATACATTCTACCTTATTAAGTTCTTAAATTCAAAAACATTAAAGGTACACATTTTCTCAGTCTTAAAAATAAGTTTTTCATGAGATTTTCACTCATATTGCTTGAGCAAATTAATTAATTGATATCAAAATTAAAATATATAACATGAACATAGAACCTCATTTGTTCGAGTATAGCAAAATCCATGGTATAGATGTCAAAGTCAGGAAGATGTTGTAATTCAAAATCTAAGTATATTTTTCAGTATAAATTTACACTTAAATATGCCCTTAAATTTAAGTATATTTTTCAGTACATATTTGCACTTAAAATCACACTTAAATTTCAGTATATTTTTAAGTACATATTTGCACTTAAAATCACACTTAAAATTCAGTATATTTTTCAGTATAAATATATACTGAAAAATGTACTTAAAATTTCAGTACATTTTTCAGTACATATTTATACTGAAATTTGCACTGAAATTTTAAGTATATTTTTCAGTACATATTACACTTACACTCTGTTCGAGAAATAGAGATTAAATTCAAAAGGATGAAGTGAGTGCATGGCGAAAATGAAACTTCTTGTGAATGAGAGAACATCAATTTTGATACGAGGACAATTCCTTGTCTTCGTTTCCAGCTAGTTGATCCCAAGTGATTAAGTTTAGAATGTTTTGTTCTTTTACGATTTGATAGAGACTAAGCAATTAAATGCGACGAAATACTTTGACAACACAATATGTATCTGTTTTATTCTTAAAGTTACTATATAGAGTAAAGATATTTTGGTTTTTAATTTGTGATGGTTGTGGAATGTGGACTTAGAATTTTTTGACAGGACACGCTGGGATATTGTCAGCTTAGTTTAATAAATATAGGTTTTCTGTACACCATCACAATGGCGTTAAAACATCACATTTGCAGAAAGTAAACAAAGTCCAGCTTTTGGATCACATCACAACACTTTTTCAAAAAAATTTCAAAGTCCAACTTTTGATCGAAAAATATTGGTTTTTTGTAGACCATCACACATGGGGTGAAAACATCACTTTTTCAGAAAATTTTCAAAGTCCAAGTTTTTGACTGAAAAATATTGGTTTGCTCTAGACCAATCAAATGGGGTAAAAACATCACTTTTTCAAAAAAATTTCAATTAACACAGGCTGGTATCGAAAAATTTGTCCGCTGTGACGGAGCGTGCTATTTTGCATAGAAACACTAGGAAATCCACACAATTAATTTTTTTATTACTCATATGTTTTGCTATATCAAAGAAAATTACTGACTCCATGCAATGAATATATCATTTGCGGGTAACTTTAACTTCTGTTTGAAGTCCAACAACGCTAAGAGTAAAAGTTATTGAAAACGGTGTCGGGGTGTCATACTTCAAAATGTACCATTTCTTTTATTTCTTTTTAATGGTATAATATAGTGACACGATAATATTTACACATGTTTTCAGCATAACTCTGAAGCTATTAATGAGATTTTTATGTTTTGGGTATTTTGAATTTTTTTATAAAAAATAATGTTTAAATTTTTTGTCGGCTGTGACAGAGCAGTTTCAAACCTGAAATACGTTAAGAATTTAGATTTATAATATATCTCTTTACAACTACACTTTAGAGGAGCGAGCGTGTCAAATCTCTTTCGTAAAGTATTCTGAAAAATGAAACGTAATAAAAGTACACAATTCAAATTCTGAGATGTATATACGACCACTCTTTACGCTTCTTTTCTCAGTTTGCACTGCAATCCATCTTTTGCATGGTAACTCATGAAAATGATAGTCGACTTCATTTCAGTATAGGGTATTTGCCTTTCGTAGTGCCTACTGTGGATCCATCACCTGACATGGTCATTTTTTATGGTAACTTGATTATTTGAAGTAAAATTATTTGCTGAAGATGAAGTTAAATACATAATATGGTATGGACAGCGGATTGTTCTACCTCTTTAGTCGTTCCAAAAGGTAAGTGGAGTGTATCTTGAAATATGAAAATGAAAAGTTTGATTTTGATTTTTATTTGAATAAGAGTTATGGCTATCAGAACTGAACACATATGGAACACAAAAATATGTTCCCAGTTGGTAGATGTTCACTCCATAGAGGCTATTTCATACAGAACTCAGAGGAATATTTGATAAGAGGTGTTCTCTAGAGAAAGATAGGTAGGTGTGAATATTTTCGAAACAAATGCGTGATTTATACACATATTTTGTACCAAATGCGTGACATAAACGGCAATCGCGTGCAAAGACCGAACGGAATGCGTTCGCTTTTTTTCACCATTTGGTATTTTACCATTTCGGCATTTCACAAAAAACGATTTTTAAAAATTTCAACAAAATGCGTGATATTTGATCATACACGCTAAATTGATGCGTGATTTCTATTTTTCCAGCAAATGCGTGACAATCACGCCTAATGCGTGAGGGTTGACAGGGCAGCAGTTAAAACTGCTCCGTCACAGCTGACATAAAATGTAAACATTATTTTTTATAAAAAAATATTAAAAATACCCAATACATCAAGATATCATTAATACCTTCAGAGTTATACTGCAAACATATGTAAATATTATTGTGTCACTATAGTGTACCATTAAAAAGAAATAAAAGAAATGGTACATTTTGGAGTATGCTTCCCCGGCGCCGTTTTCAATAGCTTTTACTTTTAGCGTTGTTGGACTTCAAACAAAAGTTAAAGTTGAACGCAGATAATATACCAATTGCATGGAGTAAGAAATTTTCTTTGGTATAGCGAAATATATGAGTAAAAAAATAAATTGTGTGGGTTTCTCAGTGTTTCTATGCAAAATAACACGCTCCGTCACAGCGGACAAATTTTTCGATACCAGCCTGTGATTGAATTACATTCCAAATAAAACTTTCAAAATAATTCCTCTCAGACTTTTAAAAGTCAATTTTATTCATCTAAACCTCATAGATATGTCCATGTCGAATTTCTCTAGAGTTTGCTGGCACTAAATTTCCCGATATATTGCTAGAATTGACTAAGAAATCCACTTTTCCAGTGATTTTTCCCCAGCCTCTGCGACTGATTTAACCAATTTAATAACATTTTTTTGTAAAAAAACTGAATTTTAACATAAAACGGGTACTTTCTTCGACAATTTTTCCATGTTTTTTCCCTCTCAGATTGGCCATTATCCATGGTTTACGTCCAAAGGGGTGTTTACTCCATATCATGAAATCAAGAAAAAATACATTTGTTGTTAGTTCGTGATAAAAAATGACAAATAAAATATATCATTTGAAGTAGTGGTATGCAGGCCCGCGCGGAAATTCAAAAAATTTGGCCAAATCATTCAAGGATGCTTCACCATTACATAACAGAAAATCAAAATCATCATTTACACGTTTGGTGATAGGTACATGTATATTGAAAATAATTCAATTGTGGCACTATTCTCAGTAAATATTGATGAACATACGAAATGTGCATTTTGACGCAGTTACTGAGCCTGATTGACTAATCTAACTCATCAACTTTTATTTTGTGTTCATTTGAGAAATAACTCTCCACCTTATTTTACTTTTCAGTCCCGGTCTTAGGATTCTTCAGTGTCTTAGTTGAAGGTGAGGATTGTTGAATCTAAGGGTTATATATATCTTACAAGTGGATCCAAGAGACCAAGTGGGCAAGTCCATTATTTTGCAGTGGTGGCAGGATATACACATATCAATTTTTATTAAGGAAAACCTATTAAAAGTTTAGCAGTCAATAAATATCAGATCTGTAAATTCCGAAATCAGAAGCGAACTCAATAAAAACCAGATTAGAATGCACAAATACCGGATCACAGATTTTTCCAATGCTATGAGGGACCTGTTAAATGTTATACCAACAGTCCATTTTCTCCACTTGGTCACTCTTAGATTGAGCCAAGTATTGGATGATTGGAGGCAGTTTTGATCAAATTTGCAAAGGGTTAATTTTATTCTCATCTGTCTCAACAAAACAGGAATATCCCAGAATTCATACAGTCATACTTCTCTTATGTAAACTATATCATTGATTGGCCAAGGGTTCATCATAATCCTTGGAAATGACCTCTTCTGGATATAAAGCGTGGGAACATCTGATATGACCAGTTCCCATGACAGTGTGTCACCTGTCATTATCCCACCGAACGAAGTTAGAGGGGGATATAGAGAAGCCATCCGTCCGTTCGTTTGTCCATGTGTCCGGGCGATAACTCCAATACCGGTTGACGGATTTGGTTCAAATTTTATAGGCTTATGCCTTATGAGTGTAGGACCTCTGCTCGAGAAGGAATTTTCAATATGGCCACTCAATTCAAAATATCAGCCATTTTTCGTAAAAATGTAATCGTTGATAACTCAAATACAAGTTGACGGATTTGGTTCAAATTTTATATGCTGATGCCTAGGAACAAAGGAGTTTCGCTCAAAAAGAGATTTTCAAGATTGCCGCTTAATTTCAAAATGGCGGCCATTTTTCGTAAAAATATGTAATCTTTGATAACTCAAATACCAGTGAACGGATTTGGTTCAAATTTTATATGATGATGCTTAGGGACACAGTAGCTATGTTTGACAAAAATTTTTCAAGATGGCCGCTTAATTTCAAAATGGCGGCAATTTTTCGTAAAAACGTAATCTTTGATAACTCAAATACCAGTGAACAGATTTGGTTGAAATTTTATATTATTATGCCTAGGGACACAGTAGCTCTGTTCAAGAAATAATTTTCAAGATGGCGGCTGAATTTCAAGATGGCGGCCCATATTCATAAAAAAAGTAATCTTTGATAACTCATATACCAGTGAACGGATTTGGTTCAAATTTTATATGCTGATGCCTAGGGACAAAGGTGTTTCGCACAAAAAGAGATTTTCAAGATGGCGGCTTAATTTCAAAATGGCGGCCATTTTTCGTAAAAATATGTAATCTTTGATAACTCAAATACCAGTGAATGGATTTGGTTCAAATTTTATACGATGATGCTTAGGGACACAGTAGCTATGTTCGACAAATCATTTTCAAGATGGCCGCTTAATTTCAAAATGGCGGCAATCTTTCGTAAAAAACGTAATCTTTGATAACTCAAATACCAGTGAACAGATTTGGTTGAAATTTTATATGATTATGCCTAGGGACACAGTAGCTCTGTTCAAGAAATAATTTTCAAGATGGCGGCTGAATTTCAAGATGGCGGCCCACATTCGTAAAAAACGTAATCTTTGATAACTCAGAGACCATTGAACGGATTTGGTTCAAAATTTATATGATGATGCCTTATTCAATTGTATAAACTAACTTTGTGCCAAATTTCATGCACAAACATTTCAACATTTACACTAGCTATAATAAGCATAATATGTTTTGTTTGGTGGGATTTGCTACTCCGTGGATTTGCTGTTTTTCTAGTTTAAACATGAAAAGTACCTGACACCAATTTATTCATATTTAAGTGAGTTGGCCAAATGAGTAAGTTAAGGCAATCGTTTCAAAAGGATACATAAACAAAATAAAAGATACATAAATGTTGTATAAGTTTTTAACTATTCGGAAAACAGAGTTTCCTTACCAATTTTATTTTTTGAAAAAATCTGATCATTTGTGAAGTATGGTTATTGTAGATTCGAAATACTGTTTTCAAATTTGTTAGAGTCGAAAATTAGCACTTATCCAATTATTTGAAATGAATTTATAGCAAATGCATATGAACAAAAAACTATGTGAGATGCTTGAAACGCAATAAGTAAAATTGCAGTAACTTAACTTAGTAATAGTCCAGTTTTAGTTTGACTGCTGTCGTATATGAACTTGGTATCAAATAAAAGCATGGGAACCAAACGATAAAACTAGCTTAGGACAATAAATACCTGTGACTGTACTACTTGTAATTTATGGCATGTGTATTTCAGTCAGTTTTGGTGCTACATGTAACCCACCGTGTAATGGCGTAGGAGAAATCTGCAGTCTTGTTGAAGGGAATCCAACGTGCACCTGTGGCAGAATTTGTACATTTGACTACCGACCAGTATGTGGATATAACGAGAAGGGTAAGGATTATTAGAGGGATAATCAGAGTCAAGGTTCACAAGCTATCACAAGAGATCATATAGCTCTGATTGATTCACTCCCTAAACGCACAGGGTTTTATTTTTATTTACAAAATTGTATTTTGCGGCAAATTGATTCCAGCAGCCGAAGTGTCATTTGACAATCGTGTCATGTGACGTAAAATTTCTGCTCTGAAAATGAAATCAATTTTGCCTCGAAAAAAGACATATGTTAACTTTATATCCCCGATATCCTGATTAATAAAATTTTGAGTGGTTCACAGTCGTAAAGTATCACGGTGTTATACCATGACGGTCACATCAAGGTGATTTGATTCGAGCATGTTCTCTTTCTCGCCTGTAGGCAAGATTCACAGATATGATTCCCTTTTCTACTAGTTCCATTCGGACGGTTCCGTGCATGTACACCTTTCAAGTCAAGGTTGCTATCAAACCATTTGACATACTATGAAAGTCTTTACTTTGCCCTAAAATGTTGAAAGTACGCAAAGTGGGCCTTTAAAAACTAAACGTAATGATGTTAGTGCGAAAAATATTTTGTAATTTATTCTTAATAACCAGGTCCAAAAAGGACAAATAACTTTCTGCAAAAGCGGCAGCATTTGAACATTGAACATTCACCGTCATTTTTCCGGGTTCTGACATTTTTCCGGGCTGCAAAAACAAATTGTGTTTTTTTTCGTTTCCGGATCGTTCAATTTTATTCCGGGCTGTCTAAAATAATTTTTGTTGATTTTCTGATGATTTTTTGTGGGTTTAGAACCGTTATCCGGTTATTTATATCATTCCAGCGAGGAAAGACGATTTTTCTGCATCAAATTTGTTTCAATCTCAATACCAACACAAATACGAGCTCATATTAGGATTCACAAACCCAGTTTGAATCCCAATTTGAATCCTAATATGAAACCAAATATGGTACTTAAGGTAACTGGTCAACTCGTACCCAAGGCAATTCGTACCCAAGTCAAGTCGTACCCAAGACAACTCGTACCCAAGACAACTCGTACCCAAGTATATCTTTTGTTTTGAATCAAGTGTTGGGCTGGGAATGGGTATAGATATACATATTATAACGGTTACATACAGTTCAGAATAGTTTGAAGTATGTAGAAGAGTTTTTGGAAGAAATCGATTGAAATTTGTGACCAAATATATTGGTCACAGATTCAGATGTTCGAGGGAAGAGATTTACGTTTATTCCACATATTCATAATCATTGTTCACAATATTAGTGATATTTTTGTATGTTAATGAGTGTTTGGAACAAGTATCAGATCTAATTCATCTTGAAATATGGTATTATCAAAAATATAAAGATTTTCAAAACTTGCGCCTATTTCTTATTAAACAGATAATCTATTTAGGATTTCATATTATCAGATTAAAGAATGATAATTCTAAGAAGTCACCTTCATAAAATTAAGCAATAAAAAATATTCTAAATAATATGAATATCAAATATTATTTTGATACTTATTCATACATGATATAATACACTTTGCATGCATGTGTTCAAATACTGGTATAATCCAATTAAGTTCAAAATGGAAAATAAATTAACAGATTAAAGTTCCCTTATTAATTTTCTCTGAATGCATAAGCTAAATTAATTGTTTGATTCATTTGTTGAAAAGTTACTGTTTTAATTATATTCATTTATATATATGTATTACAAAAAAAGTTGAGAACAAGCCCTTCAAAGCACTTCAAAGGTAATCCAAGTTAAAACAAAATGCTTTGCTTAATCCATTAAGAAAAAATGTCTTCTAAATTCAGAAAAAATATTGAGGCACATTATAACATTAAACATTTTGACACAGACTCAATTTGTTTTCTTATATGCACCCATAATACAGAAAATAAACGTGGGTACGAGTTGTCTTGGGTACGAGTTGACTTGGGTACGAGTTGTCTTGGGTACAAGTTGTCTTGGGTACGGGTTGTCTTGGGTACGAGTTGACTAGGAAGCGTACTTAATACCATTGTAGCGAATGATGCTGATTTCTCTGCAGCAAATGTGGTCGAATATCAATACCAATACAAATATGTGCTCATATTAGGAACTCTTTGAATCCCAATATGAATCCTGATATGAATCCAAGTATAGTTATCTATATCATTCTAGCGAAGAAAGTATATTTTTCTGTATCAAATGTGTTCAAATCTCAATACCAATACAAATATGAGCTCATAGTAGGATTCGCCAACACTATTTGTATCATAATTTGAATCCTAATATGAAACCCAATAGTTTATTTCCTCATACCAGGAGACAAACAAACCGCGTAAGGATAGTACACTCTAATTGGGTCATGGTTGACTGAATATCCATGCTGTTCGATGTTCATTTGAATGTTAGGGGTTTTCTGAAGTGATTTTTTTGGCTCACACAGTGAGCCTATGGGATCGACCAGGCGCCTGTCCGTTGGTCTGTCCGTCCGTCGGTCCGTCCGTCCATCCGTCCGTCCGTCAACATTGGCCGCACAAATTAAAATTGCTATTCGGATTGAGTCATATCCACATTCATTTTATGCATATCCATAATGCCTATTTGACTTATCGTCGCCATTTCCCAAGTTCGCCCGGTTTCCGAGAAATTGCGGATTTTGACGTCAAAAAGTCAAATTTTCTGTAAATACTAGACACTTTGTTGAAATAGAACTTTCAAATAACTTTAAGTAGTTGCTGTATATGCATCTTATGTCCTCTGAATATTTCAAAGCTCTTGGAATTACAGTTTTTGGTGTTTACTCTATACAATTTGACAAAAAGTAGGACTATGTCATTTTCAGGAAACTTTCTCATGTATAAAGTCAATGGCAGGTTTTGTGATTGACAAGTTTCTCAAAGTTTGCCTTATACTTGATCATTTCTTGCAATGAATTACACCATTACTAGATTTAAGCATTCCCTACATATTGCTTAATATATGTCAGCATCAGATTTTTACAGTTTTTGAGATATTTGACGTCAAAAAACAGTAAAAATAAGTTATTTTTCAACTTGCTTCAATTTGACCAAATTTTTTTTGAAAATCATCTACCAGTTGCCAGGAACTAAAATCTGACATTAGTTTTAGGATTTGACCTTTACTTGACCTTCAGTGACCTTCGAAAGGTCAAAAAAGTTGATTTTTCAAATTGATTTTTGGATGTTAATTTTGGTCAGCTTAATCACAAAAGACCTTACTGAACTCTGAATAAGTAAAATTTTCAAGGTCAAAGGTCATCAAACTAGGTTCTCAAAGTTCGAGACTACAAATCCAAATCAATATTTTTGGGGTTTACGTAAAACACCGACCACTGACCACCGACCAGTCACTCTCCACAGTTGGGTACATGTGGTCGGTGGTCGGCTGACAGTCTTTTACATAAAGATGAAAAAATGCAAAATTAGAAGTAAAAACTTGACTAAAACTGGGAATCCAATGACTATAGTACCTTTACTAGGTCGTGATTTAAAAACGTATAATTATCATTTCAAATCACGATGAAAACGTTACATCATCGTGGTGTGTAATGTCATATTTTTAAGTGATGTTTCAGTTGTTAGAAGACCAATTTCATCCTGGTTAGTCACTTTGGAAAAAAAACGCACGTAACATTGCATTAAGTTCATTCTTCATTCATATGAAACGCAATAACAAAAACACACAAACATCGTCGATGTTGACGTCGTAACGTTATGTTTGATTTCTCAGTTGTTAAACGTCAACTGGTAAAAACTACATTTGATATGACAAAAAAAGCTATCTCATGGTGTACTGAAATGGTAAGTCACTTTTAATCCCGATAAGAGAACGCATGTAACATTATATCGTGTTCAGTATTCAGTAGGCTATGACGATAACAAATCATTTTTGTTTCGAAATTGTTAAATTTCAGTAAAAAATTAGGATAGATTCCCGTAGAAACGATAGGTTGGTTAATGATAGGTTAGGACCTAAGGCAGGACAATTAATCGAGAGGAGACGGTCATGACCAATTTGTTTGCTTGCCATTCGTTGCAAGGTACAAAATCGGTAAAAAACATTGCCTAGTCCAACGATTGACATTCAAAATCAAATTATTAATATTCTAAGGCTACAAATATGTTCGGTCTTTTACATGATATGGTCGGTCTTTTACACATTTTCTTCAAACCCTGTTTTGAGGCTACCAGTGGAAAGCACCGACCGGTCGGTGGTCGGTGGGGTCGGTCTTTTCCGTAAACCCATATTTTTGTTTTAAAGTCAGGATATACATTCCTCTGAAGGTTCCAAACTGTGTGAGCACAGGACCGTGGGTCCTATTTTTAAATTTTCAGTCCAATCCCTTCAGCCTTTTCGATTTTATAGTTTTATTAGTTATACGTGTAGTTATAATTTGATATTTTTAACAAAAATTATGCCTGGATATCAATTTGATTTAACCAATGGAAACACTAATTAAGTATGAAGGCATGTGTGTATTTCCTTGCTTTTTTCAGAAAAGTATCATTACACTGTCTACTTTTAGTAAACCTGGAAACAGGTCAATGGTAGCTCCCTGTGTTTGGAAAAACAGGAAGTGTGAAATATCAGAATTCCCTGGAGTTCCATTTGAACGCCTACCAGATATTCTAAAAGAAGACAATGTAATGATACTTTCCTGAAAAAAGCAAGGAAATTGATACATGCCTTCATACTTTATTTTGTACCAGAAAATAACATGTGCAGGTATAGCAATTTTTTACCAAAATGTTACTTTCCAGCTGTACCTTAACTATGACTCTGGACACTGTACTGTTTAATTCATAGTTATCATATACAGGCCTGTCAACTGTCCCGCAATTTGCGTATTTGTCACGCATTTGCTGAAGAATTTGAAGTCACGCCAGTTATTTTTGCGTGACAGAAAATGTCACGCAAATACGCATTTTACCTGGTAATTGTCAAGCAAAAAGATTTCTGTAGAAAAATTTCTAAAAAAGATCGTCTACACAGCAAAAATACGAACGCCGAAAAAAATGTACGCATTTTGTTCGGACTTTTCACGCAAATTATGTATATGTCACGCATTCCGTTCGAAAATTTTCGTACCTACCCCCCCCCCCTTCGAAAATTTTCGTACCTACCCCCCCCCCCCCCCCCCCCCCCCCCCCCCCCCCCGTTGATGGATGTTTGAAACGCGAGCGTAGGGGAGGTGTTCAACATTTCCAAGTCACTCATGTTAGGTGTTCCCAAGTTGACAGGCCTGCATATATTATTAGAATCTCTTATCATGAAATGTTTTATACATGGTATACTTTAATATTATGTTTCCTTTGTGGGGACACAAAGCTTTCAAATGGAGGGAGAGTATTGTTATGCGTATTGCTATGTGTTCCTAAATATTCGTCAGTCTACTACTATTGTAACTCAAGAGGCAACATCTCTAGCTAACATCTACTGATCTTGGGTTGCAGTTAGGTGATTCAAGGCTTTGCATTAGATGAGTCTTAAATTGTGAATAATAAAGGAGATCATATATTTTAGTTACATTATCGTACCCCTAGACCAGAGACAAAAGGACTATACCACAAGAAGCGGCAAGCGTAACAAGTGTACCATTCTAGTTAACAAACTTACTCCATAATTTGATAAAAATGCAATATTTAATTGCTTCTTGTGTATTATATAATATTATTGAATAGAAGAATTTATTTGTTAGACACTCCCTGAGATTTTATTTATCTTCATATAGTATAGCCAGAGATATATCAAATACCATGATTCTCAAGTGAATTTTGGATTAGTAGATTTGTACATTACATATGATGTGATATATCTTATGTTACGTCATATAATATTATTAGGTTATATAATGGTTGATTCCGTATATCGTGTTTATACTCAAGTGAGTATATGATATATTCACGAGTGACTGAAGGGAATGCGTGAATATATTCACGAGTGACTGAAGGGAATGCGTGAATATATCATATACTCACGAGAGTATAACGATATACAGAATCAACCATTATATGGTCTTATTATCCCACCCTTATCTTTAATCAATAAAAGGTTAATCTAAATTCAGCAGTTGTATATCAAGTCGAAGAGTTGTATACACTGCCCAGGAGTTGTATACGCTATCCAGGAGTTGTATATCGTTCTCAAGAGTTGTATCCGATGAGTGTTGGTTTTATACTGCAGTTATACAATGCTATTATACAATCATATGAAGCACTGAGGGTGGGATAAAACATTTTATATATCTATAGGGTGTCCACAAAAAAGTATGCCCAACTTCAAAGTTGGATTAATAGAATTTTAAGCAATATTTTTGAAATACAAAGGTAGCAGTAAAAAGTATATTTTGTCCTCCATCAAATGGTACTTAGATCATTGTGTTATTGCCATGGATAACTGAGCAATCATGACCATTATGAGAGGTGGTAAAATCAGCACTGTGTCAAGTTAGCATTCAAGTGGGATTGACACAGTGTATTTTTTTGTGGTCAAAACATTATTTATGTTCCAGTTCAAAATTGTACCGTTTTCTCCACACTTTCACACATTTTTCCATATTGTCTTTTTGTTTGTACCTCCCTCTCAGGAAATTGGATCCAGTGTCGATTTTACGGTAATTTAGGTGCAATATGTAAAACTGTAATTGCAATATGTTTTAAATGTAAAAAAGATTATGTAGGACATTAATAAAGCTAGCACATGGCAGCCATCTTGAAAAATGGCAGCCTTTACTCGTTATTTTACGATTTTTGCTGTAACTCGAAAAGTAGTGGAGCGATTTTGTTCATATTTGGTATGTGAATAATATAAGCTGGCACACTGTCTAATGACACTTTTGGTAGAAGGTGGCCATTTTGAAAAATGGCGGCCATTTTAACATATTTTACTATAACTCGAAAAGTAGTTGAGCGATTTTGTTCATATTTGTTATGTGAATACCATATGCATGGCACACTGTATAATGACACTTTTGGTAGAAGGTGGCCATTTTGAAAAATGGCTGCCACTTGCTATTTACTTTGTTTGTAAAAATGCCAGCCTTGGCTGTTCGATGGGATTTGCTACGCTTTGGCGTTGCCATTGTTCTGGTATAAATAAGATTTCATTTCAAGTCCATAAGGGTTAGTGGTCTCAATTCTCCCAGTGATTTAAAAATAAATAAAACAAATGAAGGCCTATCCTTATTTTTCAATTTTTTCAGAAAATTATGACTTTTTATATTTATATTATTTATATTTAAGATGTACATAATAGGAATGTGATTTCATTTTCAAGTCCTTAGGGGGGTTAGTGATCTACATTCTGCCAGTGATTTAAAAGTAAGAGAAGCGAATGAAGGCCTACCCCTAATTTTTTAAATTTTTTCGAAAGTTATGATTTTTTCTTAACAACTAATACATGCACAATTCACTTAATTTGCATACATATAGAGTACACAACAAAGTTAATCTACGATTAATTTTATACATGGTTAAGTGGCTTTTTAGGAATATAATGGCGTTCACGTAAAATTACTGTGCAGATTTAATGCAACATTTTAGATGAATAACCTTATTACAAGCAAGAAATTATAAAATTACTTTTAAAGAATGGCAGGAATTTGAAAAAACCCTAGGGGGTCTATTTTTCAAAGGGAGGGGTACCATGTTCCACTAAATAGATTTTTAGTATGTCATTTCATATGCATTTACGAGGGTTATCATAAAGTTCTCTTAATATCTCTCTGATTTCTTTATTTTTTAATAATTTTCAATGAAATTTTCACAGAATGTGCAGCATGGAATGGTATATTAATCCAGCAAACAATATTTAGAATAACACAAACATTAAATAAGAAATGGTTGCCATAGTAACTTTAAATCAAGGCACCCGGGGCAAATAAAAAAAATAGCTAGAATAGCCCCCATTAACCATGTTTAAATACATAATAAGTTGTCAAATAAGCTATTAAACACATTAAATTGTCAAATAATATGTGCTCTAGACTGTTGTGAACTATTATAATGGTCATGTGAATTGTGTGATCGCATAATGGATGATTGTTATGCTTCATTAGAAGTGACTGTGAGACCCCATGACTGTTTTGTCAAATATCCTGAGGAAAATTGATTTTGCCCCTTTAGTTCATTTTTAACATGTACAGTCCACACACAGGGTGTAATTTTGTTGATATCTTAGTAATATATTTGTTTTAGATCATGTTTAGTCTGACCAAAGGATCTTACAAACTTAACAAAACATTTTATCAGTATGAATTTTATTTTTCTGAAGATCTCTGCATCTATTGCATTCTCTTACTCAGTCATTTCTGATCATCAGCTTTGAGTGTCAGACTCTGGTATCACATCTAATGAAGCATGAAATCATCCCCTATGACATCACCTAATTTACACGATCGATTTATTTAATTGTTAAAGCACTTTACAACATATTCAAGTTAACATTTTAACGTGTTTGGTAATTCATGAGAGTTTATTATGTATGTAAACATGGTTAATTAAGCCCATTCTCTCAATTATTTTTATTTGCCCCGTGTGCCTTGATTTCCCGCTACTATGGCAACCGTTTCTTATTTAATATTTCTGTTAAACTAAATATTTTTTGCTCAATTAATAAGACATTCTATGCTGTACATTCTGTGAAAATTTCATCGGAATATATTGAAAAGTAAAGAAATTAGAGAGATATTATGAGAACTTTATGATCAACCCTCGTATAAATTGATAAACAATTACAATTAGTTTTGGGTTAAATGTTTCTTTGACTGGACTATTTGTATTGGTAATGATATAAAATATAATGATATAAAATAACCATATTCGGATTCATATTAGGATTCATATTGGGATTAAACAGAGTGGTTGGTGAATCATAATATGAGCTTTTTTGTATTGGTATTGGCACTCGACCATGTTCGCTGCAGAGAAATCTACATCATTTGCTAGAATGATGTGAATGACCATATTTGGATTCATACTAGGATTAATATTGGGATTCAAACAGAGTTGACGAATCCTAATATGAGATCATATTTGTATTGGTATTGGTATTCGAACCCTTTTGCTGCATATAAATCAACATTTATTATTTCCTATAATGATATAAATAACAATATTTTGATTCATATAAACATTCTAATTCTAATATATTCTGTTCTCGATATTATGTATTCAATATTGGCACTCGACTTCGTCTCGTTCCAATACAAAATGTCTCTAGTAGAATATATCCTGTATTGCATTTCAAATCATTCAATAACTTATATTTGTATTCATATAAGGATTCACATTAGGATTTAAACAGAGTTGACGAATCCTAATACGTGATCATATTTGTGCTTGTATTGAGATTCGAACACATTTGATACAGAAAAATCAACATTATTTGCTATAATGATATACATGTAAGTAACAATGTTTGGATTCATATTAGGATTCATATTTGTATTAATATTGAGATTCAAGCTCACCAGCTGCTGTTGATTTTGAATCCCAATACCAATATGCAGGCAACTTTACCCACTTCATGTGTATGGTTGTTGTTATACTTAAAAATGGAAAACTTATAATTACAATTGTTGTTTGATTTTAGAGATGACAAGTAGAACTTTTGGCAATAAGTGTGCATTGGATGCAGCTATCTGTAATGGAGAAAATCTAAAACTGGGTCACGCTGGAGAATGTTTACTTAGTAAGTGACATATGACATATACGTATACAAAAGGAAGTTACCTTTATGTCAATATCAATGACCTGCAGTTGAAATTTTGTCATTTTGTTCAAAGGTCATAAAAAACTAGATCACATGAGAGTTTAAGTATTATTATAACATACCTTTGATGATGTATAGTGTAAACTGTTCACAAGACAGCGGGCTAATATAACTTTTGAATAGCCCGCGCCCGCTAACTTTCTGATTGGTCCAGGACCAGATTTGAAATGCAATCCAGGACGCTGGGACTACGTCATACATTAGGCCTAGGTCAAATTGACTCGTACATTCGTAAGATACAAACATGGGAATAAATCAACATTTCCGAACCATTGCTAGTCAATTAGATAAGAAAACGGTACTCTCCACTGGCGGATTAGGGGGGAGGGGCCCGGGCCCCCCCCCCCTTGGGTGGGCCCAGAAAAAAAAAATTGTGCCCAAAAAAATTTTTGGGCCAAACAAGGCCTTCAGGCCCCAAAAAGTGGGCCTTTTTGGTCATTACTGGGCCTTTTAAGGCCTTATTTGTTAATTTCAGGCCAAATTTTGAAGAAAATGGCCCCAAAATTTCAAAATTTGGGCCCACTTTTGGATTTTAGGGGCCCAAAATTTTTTTCTGCGCAAGCGCGGACATTTTTTCTCTGACCTGAAATTTGGGCCCCCCCCCCTTGTTGCTTCCTGGATCCGCCCCTGCTCTCTGACCAGACTAGATCATCATAGGTATGTTATAAATCGTTTGTGTCACGTATAGTTGCACATATGCCCTCAGTTCTCAGTGATCAATGACCCTTCCAAGGTCGGGCCATATATCACTGAAACCCTCGGGCATATATGCAACGATAGTGACATAACCTCTAAGTATACATGTACACCTGGAAGCCTAAAATCCAGCATAAAAGTGAGTTGTTCACTAGCAATAGGTGGCTTGATGTTAAAGCGGGTTTGTTGAAAATACTGGGTACCGGGTAGTAAATCCTCCATGCTGGGTTTAAACTTGGTACCGGTACCCGGTCAAAAAAAACCGGGTACCCCAAAAAACGGGTATGTAAAAAACGAACTATATAAAAATAGAGTAGGATTGATTTGTCATGTTTTTCAAATATAACTTGCTATATTCATGTCAAAAAAATTGGGTGAAAAAGACAGAGGCTTTCTAATGATATTTAACTTAATATGTTATACTGTATATTTGTATTTTTCGTTTTTTGGGTACCCGTTTTTTTCAACCTGGTTCCAAGTTTGAACCCAGCATGGAGGATTTACTACCTGGTACCCATTTTTTCTACAAAGCCTGTTTAAGCATGGGAGAGCAATGATTTGACGAGTGTTCAGCTTTAGGACATACACATTTGGGATACGAAACTTTCATGAGGGGTGGGCATGAAATATTTTTATTGAATTACATAATATTATTACATGATAGTTATTATGATACTTTTTATCACACCATCGATGGGATACATGTATACTCATCATGATGACGGCGTGATCATTATCGTGGTTGTTATCGTGATTGTCACGCTTTTTGTCGTTGATATTTCAGGGAAAAGCGCTCATCGAATTTGCAAACATGATAGAGAATATCAAGTTCTAGAGCTGATTTACTTTTGGCCAGCCATATTGCTTTCTGGCAACCATTTTGAAGGTTTTTCGATGTTTTGATCTAGTTCATGTCATGTGCCTTGCTGGTTGGGGTAAAATGCCCGCATATTGTTTTGTTTGAGGTGTAATAAGTACATGATTATAAGTATAACAGTATTTGAAAAATAACAGTATTTGAAAAATGAGAAAAAGTGATGGCTCGGAACAATTTTTGCTATAATATAAATATATGATGAATATGAAAATAACTTGAAATTCTGTTTTTAAAATGGACTGTTATCTCTACTGTAAACCGAAAAACTGTGGATGGAGACCTGGTTTATGAAACAGTATCCATAGATAATTAATTCGTCACACGAGGAGTGCCAAAAGTTGCATGGTTAATTATTGCATCATCACATAAACATCCTAATGAAACATTAGGGATAATATGGAAACATAATTTTGATGAATTAAATGAATAATAATTACCAAAGGTTGAAACACATGAATATTTTAGGTTGGTCAACCGTATCTTTTGCACCACATATTCATCAAATGATTAGTGAAATAGACAAACTTTCAAATACCTTAAGGGCACTAGCCCCTATAAGTTGAGAGGGGAAGACTTAAAATTGATGTTTTCCTCCTTTATTATGCCACATTTTGAGTTCTATGACATAATTTATGAATGTGGTCAAGTAAGAGATTTAAAATAACTCAGATTTATTACAAATCTACTCTGGCGCTAAATTTGGTATGTTTTTAACTAAGGTCTTCAAAATGTAAACTGGAATTCTCTTGAAATAATGAGAAAAGTTCACAGAATGTTGTTGATGTTCCAGTGCCTGGATACTATGTCTCAAAAATTTTCACTAAATTCCATAGACCTTTCAGACCTATGTATCAAATTTCGACTATTTTTGATAAATCGTGAAAAGTTTTAATAAATAAATGGAATGTAATTCAACCGGAAATAAAGCAAAATTAAAATGTCAAATTATTTAAAAAGCTATTCTCATCATATATCCTGATTATATAAGACAACAAAAAATAATTAATAATACAATCAGATCAGATCTTATTTTTCAAGCACATATTCATGCTCACAATTTTACAAATGTCAAACTCCTACATGCAATTACAACCATGGTAATGAAACCGCACATCATGTAGTTTTTAATTGTCCTCTCAGGAAACCAGCTTTAATAAACTTTGAAGTTCAACTTATCCATTTAAGTTTTGATTATCATAATACATTTAAAAATAAAGTGGAAAATTGTAACTTTTCTTATATGATAATATCAACATACTCAGTCCCAGTGAAGTATTTCTTGAAAAGTGTGAAACCATCACACAGGCCCCAGTTTGAATATTTTAACATGTGTTACTTTGATTACTGATTCGATTGTATATTCACTTGACTTAGCCAAATCCTATAGTTATAAATTAAAAAAGAATAATATAGTTATGGAATTTTAATGTATTTTTGTTACACTTTCGTAAACAATTAGCAAAATATTTGGATGAAAGATTAAAAAATTGTATTTTTTCGATGAGTAAAAAAACAAAGATTTTCATTTTCTTAAAATTAACTTACATACCAAAATTTTCAGTGTGAAAAAACCGGGGCAAAAAATTAAGAAATCCTCTTTTGGAGATAATACTGTAATATCATGAAAATGTGCGCCAAGTTTGAAAGCGCTGGCGCAACAATGCGCTGTTTAGAATGATCGATCCCGAGCCCATTCGAGTATAAAGGCTAGAGCACTGGTGATCCACTCGATTTAGAACAAAATGTCAGAACTTCGTATGTACAATTTTTCTCTTTTTCATGTTTCACTGCGTTGTAGGTAGAATTCCAACGACCTTTTCATCACAAACATGTGTCAAAATCTTATGTATCAGAAAATGCAGATGTTTACGAACGAATAGTTCAAAAGACTCTAGAATCATTGATTTAATACATCACTATTGTTATGTAAACGGAATGGGTTAGAAGTGCAGATCTTAACCGTTTTTTGAAGCTCTGTTTACGTAACATAAGTGAGGTAATAGAGAGGTTTCGCACAACGGATTAGCTAAAACGTATCCGCATCCATATCTCGTTACGTTTACAGATAAGTATTTTGATAATTTTCGTTTCGCAGTTCGTTTTTTTGAAGTACGTAATTACAAACGCATCTCAATCCACTGTGTTTAATAGTAGTGAAGATTAGGGTCAAATAAAAGGCTTCATCTGCGATAACATTTCAATACACCATTGAGAGTGTCCGCTTTCAGAATCACAACTCCAACACTCTACTATACCTTGCATTGGGTGTTCATGAGCAATCCTTTTGGCTTATTAGTAATGATTATGTTATTTGCTTTTATTTGTCTGTTCCTTATTAATGGTTTATCGGATAACATTAGATGTTAATGAGGTTCTCTCAAAAATATACTAAACAATACAATTGGACAAACAGAGTATCTTATGCATTTCTAGGGGTTAGGTATCGTTGAGTGTCCAAGTATTTCTGGTGAATGCAAAAATACATATTAACCCTTTCTTCCCCAAGGGCTCATTTATTAGCTCACATAGTGAGCTTTTGCAATCACTCACTTGTTAATTTCATGAAATCAATTTCAAAATGAAGAATATCCATTAGGCCAGAAAGAACACAGATATGCTGAAATAGTGGTCATTAAGAGAGGTGCATTATCACGAGGGAAAAGTCTATCCGCCTATATACAACCTACCGCCGAGCAAAGACCCGAAGATGTCTGAAAATGTAGGCGATAAGTAAATAAACTGTTTATATATTGAATTTCTCAATATGAGAAATAGATAAAACACAGAATTGTTTGTAACCGATAAAGTTGTTCTTCCAGGCACTCATGTTTGCAGAATAATGAGCACTTAATGCGATATTTACTATCAAATCGCTAAATTCAACTTCTGAATATTAGTATGATGTTTTACATCTTAAATAAGTAAGAACTCCATTTGATTCAAAGATACAAAAGGTGCAAATATATCACATTTGTTTCACTGCCATACGTTGCATATCATTGAAATCACCGGTGAAAGTTGAAAATGAAAGACCCGATTATACCACGAGTACGATTCAATAGGACCCGATGCTACCGCCTGAGTATTCCGATTATACCGTGAGTAAAACCCGATGAGGTAGTGAGTAAGCTTTCGGATGATCATATAATAATCATTGAAGTATATCACAAACATTCCTGTTAATATGATATAATTCCCGCAACACTATATGTCAACGTCTGTGTCCCGCGAAGTTCTTTAAAACATTGAATTCATGCTTTCACTCGAATCACCATAATTTTCATTGTTGATGATATCATCATTTCTATCTACCTATGTTCACAATCTAATGATTTTGGTACATGTT